CAGAGGAGGAGGTAGGTGACTCAGATAGGCAGAAAAGGGATTCAGGTTAATTTCGTTGTCGCAAGCGTGTGTGTGTGTGTGTATGTGTGTGTGTGTGTGTGTGTGTGTGTGTGTGTGTGTGTGTGTGTGTAAGCCAGAGAACAACCCCTCAGGCACTATCCACCTTGGAGTTTTGATAGGATCTTTCACTGAGACCTTGGCTTGACGATTCAGCTAGCCTGGCTGGTGAGCAAGGCCCAGGGATCCTCCTGCCTCTACCTCATCACTGGGATTGCAAGTGCCTGATTTTTTCTTTAGTGTGTGTGTGTGTGTGTGTGTGTGTGTGTGTACACATGCATGCAGGTGCACATAGCACAGGGGCCATGGCATGTGTATAGAGGCCAGAGGACAACTTTTGGGAATTGACTGTTTCCTTCCACCATGGGATCTGGGGGACAGAACTCAGATTGTCAGGTGTGGGGGTGGGGCATGCATGCTGACCACTGAGCAGCCTTGCCAGCCCATTCCTGAATAGTTTTTATGTGAGTATTGGGAATGTGGACCCAAGTTCTCATGCTTGCATGACGGGCACTTCATTCACTGAGCCGCCTGTCACCCCCCTCCCAACTCAGACCCATTTCAAAGGAAGGAAACTGAGCTTCAGAGATAGAAGGGACCCCAGCCTGTCCATGGCCAAACAGGGCCAATCGGCAGCCCCTACTTGTCCCTGGGAGAGGCCTGTGCAGGCCACAGGGAGGTAAGCATCTGCCCTCTGGTCCCATCACCTCATCCCTCTTCCCATGATCCCTGCCGTGGATGACTCTCCTCTCTGCAGCAGGAGGCTGGGATGCGGCCTCCCACCAGGGAGAGCACAGACATCAAAATGCTGGGTCCTCACCCTTCACCTCTGCAGACGCCCGAGGTGTAGCCGGGCACAGGAGGATGACGGAGAGGCCCAGGCACCAGGACAGAGCTGTGGCAGCCATCATATCCAAGCGGCAGAGCTGAAGACACGAGCCCTAATTGGAGGAGAGCAGAGAGCCCAGTGAGAACAAGTCAGGAGCCTCTCACCCTGCTCGGCTCTCCACCCAGCCGGAGCCAGTGCAGCCCAGCCCCAGGCCCTCTGTCCCACAGGAGCTCACTCCCTTCCTTCCTGACCCTAATCAGGTGTCACCTCCTTACCATACTTCACTCCATTGTGATCAGTACCGTCTGTTTGGTTTTGTACAGTGCTCAGCCAATGTGTCCCCTAGAGGCTATGTCCTAAGACCTCCAAGGATGCCTAAGACATGCGACCAAACCAGTCTTTACACATACTATGTTTTTCCTATAAATTAAAAACCCAGCCGGGCGGTGATGGCGCACGCCTTTAATCCCAGCACTCGGGAGGCAGAGGCAGGCGCATCTCTGTGAGTTCGAGGCCAGCCTGGTCTCCAGAGCGAGTTCCAGGAAAGGCGCAAAGCTACACAGAGAAAGTATCTCTCCCACTTCAAGTATCTTCCAGCAGGTGCCCACTCTGCATAACCAGGTGAGGTGCCAGGGCCCTCATCATAGCACCGTGAGCTCTGCACGGGTGATTGGACAATCGAATCCGCTAGCTGACTAGTGGGTGGGGAGCATCTACATCATGGATACTCTGGGCAAAGGACTCGCTCAAGCCCCATGCAGGATAGAGAAGGATAGCTCAAGGCTTTAGCTCATGATTTAGAACGGCGTTCAATTTAAAATGCCTGAGTTGCTTAGTTCTGGAATTTTCTGTTTAATATTTTCCAACCGTGGTTGATGGAGATAACTAATACTGTAAAAACTGAAGTAGAAAACAAGGGGAATACCATGTTTATCCATTTGTTTTCATGCTTACACACACACATGCACACACTCACTCACATACACACTCACACATACACACATTCACACACACACACACACACACACTTGCATCCCCGTGCACATGAGTCACAGATAGTCCATGAGGACAAGGCACATCTGGATTTCATTCATTCCTGAGTCTGTGATTACCAATACAGTACCTATCCCACAGCAGACAGCTGCTGGCCAGCCATGGGCTTCCAGCGGTACCCAGGATGCTCTACCCTCGCCTTTCCTAGAGTGAACTGAAACAATGGGGGTGAAAGCTGAAGTGTCGGCTCAGAAGAGGAGGCTCCACAGGGTCACCAAGAGCCACCACTTCAGCCCTGGACAGCCTGCAAAGCCTGCAAAGCAAGGCTGAGCCCTGCCCTAGGCTCTTGCAGTCCACACAAGCGGGTGGCTCTGGTCTGGTCCTCTATGAGCCTCTCCGGAGTCATCCCCCCCTCCTCCTGCTGTCCCCAAGGCTCCTGCTATCCTTTAAGGTCCGTTTCAAATTCCCCTCTCTCCTAGTTCTGTGGCGCTCACCCCCGTCTCCCCCGTGAAGGAAGGATGTCCTGCCTTGGATTGCTGTCCACCCCTCCGGCACGACAGGTGCCCGACTGGCAAGGCAGAGTGCCTATTCCACACCGCTGAGCTTGTTACATGGGAGATGTCCGATAAATGTCATGCATTGAAGGGATCCCGTGTGTTCAGGGGTCTGCGGGACGGTGAGCGATGCTGGACAGGCTGGTGACAGTGCTTGCCGGGGATGTTCAGTGAGCTCTGCTCAGGCCGTGTACCAAGGCCATCAGGCTTCCAGCCACTCTCTTCTGCCCCACAGCTCAGCAGCTGTTCTGTGTCCTTGCTACACAGACCAGGAGACCAAGGTTCCCAGGGTCAAGTCTGCAGAGCTGGGGTTCCACCTAGGACCTCCCTGTCCTGAAGAATCAGGTCCCTGCAGGTGCTTGGGTCAGGAGGGAGCCCTTACAGGTCCCTGAAGAATGTAAGTGAGGGGGCCCTCCACAGCCCCTCAGGGGCCCGGCATGAGCTGAAGTACTATAGGCTTTGATGAGGGAGTCACCCAGGTTAGGCTCAGCATCGGAGCAGCCTCAAGATGAAAGGGACCTGGGACATAACCCCGGGGGAGAGGATAAGGGGGATGAAAGAGGCAAAACCATAGGAAGGTGGGGGCCAGACCACAAGCACCAGCCCAAAGCACAGCAGGCCTTGGATAAAGCTCTCAAGCCTGCTTCCCAGCCCCGACTGAAGGGGCACAGGAGCATCCATCCATCATGGACAACGTTAGTCTCTGGGAGACTAAGGAAGCCACTCAAAACCACATACCGTGAGGCCAGCCTCAGGCGACGCAAGCGCAGCTCAAGACCTCAGAGTCCCAGGCACTGCCCCCTTGAGGCAACACCCACGCATGCCCTTCACAACTACCAGACGTTCCCACCCCTGACTCATATGTCTCCACTGAGGCCTCAACAGGGCCTGTCATCCCACAGACCCAGGCTCTTCTAACTGGGTCACCTGATTTCCAGTACAGTGACGACGGAGCAGGGTCAGCGGTGACTGGCCGTCACGCTTCCTGTCCTGGACTGACCCACACCTGTCACAGCGTAGTCTCACAGCACAAGAGCGGGTTCTGTGATGGCTCTTTCTACGTGGGCATAAACCATCCTGTTTCCCAGGACGGAAGGAGCGAGCCTCAGCCTGAGGCAGTCTGAGGCTCCACGGGTCTGTGGGGTCCAGGGTCAACTGAGGGAGGAGGCTGTCTATCTGACCTGCTGGCCTTTGACCTCAGATGTCCTTTCTCTGCCCACCTTCCCAAAGACACACACACACACACACACACACACACACACACACACACACACATTCACAAAGATACACACACACATTTACAAACACACACACACACACACACACACACACACACACACACACACACACGTCACTCACCTTTTGCTGCCCAACTGAGGGCATCTTCTGGAAGAGTGTGTGGAAGGAAGGGAACCTTCAAAGGGAGCTTGGCCCCCCTCAGCCACTCACCTTGACCCTGAAGTACAGCTAACCGTGGGAAGCTCCTACCTCAGGCAGCCTCAGAGACGGAGCCCAGTGCCGGGACACACTCCTGCCCTCTCAGTCACTCCGTAAACGAAGAGACACATCTAAGCTAGAGCGCTACCTCTGGCCTCCAGCCTAGGGCCCTCAGATCCCTGTCAGTCCGCCTTGCCGGCTCACAGCCAGGTCCCAGGGAAGATCCCCTCCCCTCTCTCCCTCCTTCACCGCCTAAGAAGGACTCCTCAGGTGGAGACCTACTGCACAGGAAGCAGCCGTATCCCATACACACCATGTTGCCTCTGAGTCCAGCTTCCCACCTCCTCCCTCTGGGCTAAGACATCACCACGCGGGGCCCAGAGAAGGCCTTCATGGCAAAGTGGCTCACAGCCCCCCATAGTATGGGCTAGGAAGAAGCCACTGTGGCCTGACATTGGAAGGGGCTTATTCTTAAAGGAGAGACCGTAACAGCCAAGCTACCCCATCCCCAGGGGATCCCAAGACAAGGCTGAGCATCAAAGCCCACACAGAAACTCCAGGGGGAACTGAGTCAGAGATGAGTGTCTTCCCAGCCCCCTGTCCCTTGGGATGACCAGCAAGAGGTGGTGGGGTACCCTGAGCTCCCAAGGGGACAGCACAGGGACATCACCTGACTGCGACATGGAGTTGCGGCGGTATGCTCCCTGCAGGCCTGCCGGAGCCTGGGTCCTCGGCCATCTCCTGCTCAGCAGCTTAGGTAGCAGACAGAAGCTAGGCCAGCAACAGACTGAAACCCAGGGCGAGCCCACTTCCTGTACAGAGGATGAGGGGCAAGGCCCAGTGGGAGGTGGAGAGATGGGGGGTGATGAGGTAGCCTGAAACTCCACACACACCTAGTGCTGATAAGATCTCCTCCTACGCTCAGGAGCAGCCACCGCATGTGGTGGCACACTCACACACCGTAGTCGTGGCAGAGGGACCCAGCTACGTGCAGGACCTGAGGGGGTAGGCCCTTCTTTGCCCACAACACTCCCACGGCCTCTCACACATGCCACCCAAGCCTTGTTGTCTTTTTGTCACACACACACACACACACACACACACACACACACACACACACACACACACACGCCCTAACGCCCAAGCCGCTCACAAACACATCCCTCTAAGGTGTCCCCTTAGCCGATTCCCGTCCTGGCTCCCACTACATACCTATCCCATTGACACCACCCCCCTTTACCTCAGCCTTCTGAGATGCCCTTTACTCAGGCTAGCATTCAGGGGTGACCGGTTTTCGGGGCTTGACAAGCAATTTGATGGGCCACTGATTGGACCTTCTAGAATCTTCTCTTCAAAATCATAGGTTCTAATTCTTCCTCTCTTGGTGAGATGGGCGGGGGGGGGGGAGAATTCAGTTCATGGCTTATTTTATTATTTATTTATTTATTTTTTTCGGGACAGGGTTTCTCTGTGTAGCTTTGGAGCCTGTCCCAGAACTCGCTCTGTAGACCAGGCTGGCCTCGAACTCACAGAGATCCACCTATCTCTGCCTTCTAAGTGCTGGGATTAAAGGCGTGCGCCGCCACCGCCCGGCAGCTTTTATTTTTAATGATGAGAAGTCATGAATTTCTCCTTAAATGAATGACTATTTACATGTAGTATCATGGGGCCATGGACTGGAGGAGTCCGTTGCCCAGGGACACTGCCCTCCCCACACACACCCCATTTCTTTCTCCCTTCATCCTGCTTTAATATCCTGCTTGGGGAAATCATACAAGTTGCTGCTGCTTGTCAAAAGAAGGGAAGCGTTGCCGAATTCTGTTCTCTGAACAGGCATTGTCAAGTTCATCAGCGCAGCTGTGACTACGTCAAGATCAGAGCCGCTGACATTCATCCCCTCACAGAAGGGAAGGAGAGTGTCCTCAGACCCTCACCTGAGGGCCAGCCTCCTCCCCCACAGGATACATATACATATACATATACATATACATATACATATACATATACGTATACGTATACTTATATACGTATACGTACACATATATATATGACTCAGGGGTGCTACATGCTATAAGTGTAAAGGGTTAATGGAGGAAGGGACTCCATCTAGCAGCATCTACAGGGATGTTATCATCCATGCTAGGCTGAGACCTCCCAGTGACACAGTTGCTTTCAGATCACCCATGCTCCATGAATAAGCCTAACAAACATTAGTTCACTAAGCTGGACTTGGGTGTAGCTGTTCCTCTGGTCTGTCACTGGCACCCTGTCAGGGTGTGGGGAGCAGATTTTTATTTGCATCTTTCCCAGGAAACATTCATGCGGCGCGAGTGGATAGGAAAATTTGGAAGGACAGCCCGGCAGATGGCTCCCTCCACAGACGCCGCAAAGTGACATCAAAGACCCTGAAAAGAGAATCGAGTACAAGACCCTCCTGTGGAGGCCAGCACTGATCCAGAGACAGAGATATGTGGGAGATTGCTGGGGAGAGTCATCCTGGCAGTGTGATCTGGCCTCTCTGAGCTTCAGTTCCCACATCTGTGAAATGAGATGCTATTCTAGTTCCACCGAGATAACAAAAATCCCTGGGCAAAGTCAACTTAATGGAGGAAAGATTGCTTTTGGCTCTCGGGTTCAGTCCCTGGTTGGCTGGCTCCCGGGGTTTCAGAAGCTGTCACAACTGGAACACCTTGCTGGAAGGGTGGAGGAAGCTGCTCCAACTTGTCAACCAGGAAGAAGGGCAGGAAGGGAAATGGGCCTCTGAGGACAGGACACATCCGCCCAAGGCATGTTCCCAGGGACCTGCTTCCTTCAGCTGCTTCCCACCTCCTAACAGCCCATCCAACTGTAAACTCATCCATGGGATAGCCCAAAGATTGCATCCTCAGGATCCCACACCTTTCTAATAGCAACATCAGGGTACCAGACTTTCCACACAAGAGCTTTCTGGGGGCATCTCATATCCAAACTATAATAGAGCTTTATCGGTTTCTGCCTGGGCATGTGGTGAGGACCAGCACACGGGCATGCATCCAGGAACTACATGGAGGCGTGAAGTAAAAGCCAGTTCTCCCTGGTGGGGTGTGAATGCACCCCAAATGCTCATAAATTAGACATTCAATCCCCCCCCAAAAAATTCATACAATTGATTGTCTGTGGAGACAGAAACTTCGGAGGTCTTTAGGGTGGGGTGGGGTCATGAAGGTGGTTCCACACGATGGCCAGAGTGACGTGCTGTGGAAGAGAGACAAGAGGCAACGCGCCGCTCTGTCCAGCCATGTGATGCCTTTCATGTGCCCGGATGCAGCAGGAAGGCCTTACCCACGGCCACTGTCTGGAACACCCACAGCTGTGAGCCCAACAAGCTTCAGTTCTCCGTCACAATTATAGCCGCAGAAAATGGCTGAGGATTCTCTCTCACCCCACTTCCCTTCTCCCCAGAAGTTCTGTGCAGAAGAGAGTGAGAAACATAACCCCAGTGACAGGGGAAATGTCAGGCCGGGTTCCCTAAGCATAGACTACTTCTAGAAGCTTCTTAGGATCCCATGATGGCTGGCTGTCCTAGCAGAGACGGGAGAGGAAGGGTTCTTTCCCTTGCTCACAAACCTTGGATTTAGCTCCTCCTTCTAGATAAACAGAATCAGTTAAGACAATTTAAAGACATATAAAGAAATAACTATCCCTGGGCAAAAATCAGAAACCACAGACCCAGTTTTAAATGACTCAATGTCACCATAGCTCTGTCTGTGGTAATGACACTGACTGGCCTAGCTGGCACTGTCCAGGCCTGTGGGAGCCCATTTTCAGGTTCCTCGTGGCTTTACCCAGCAGGTCCGCATGGAGAGGATGATTAGACCACAAGCCAGAGTGCAGGTGTCTGAGATGGTCTGCACTTGGCCGTGCTGGGGGAGGAGGTCTTTTGCTCCACCCCTTGGCATTTCTATAAATACCTTAGGGCAGAGACAGTCAGGGTCCTTTGGAATAGGTTCCAGGTCCTCTCGAGGCTATCCTGTATTTTCTATCTGTTTTTCTCTATGCTCTAAATCCTTCTGTCTAATATTTCCTGCTGCTCGCACTCAAGAAAACTCTGGGGAACTGTGGGGTTGGTGGGTAAATGCCTGGCACAGGCCTCTTCTCCTCCCTCTTTCCCTCACCCCTCTCTCCAGTCAGCAAACACTTACTAAGCATCCAAAATGCCTCAAAGGCCCTGTCAATCCAGACCAGGGCCACAAACTTCACCCTCTACTCAGAGCCTCTGGTCTGTGAGAAACAGGAGGGACATGTACAGGGATGAGAGAAAAGGTGAGCTCACGCTCGCCGGACCCTGTAGGGTCTCCTCCATGTGATAGACTCCATTTCCCAGACACCTTTGCGGGAAAGTGGAGCCTAGGACCCAGTATGGCCAGTGGGGTGGGCAAGGGATGGTTTTGTCTGCAACCAGGCCCTAAAAACCCTACTTTTAATCCGTCTGTCTCTGTTTTTCTATCCACCCTTTCTCAACTTCCTGTCTCTCTCCCCAATCTTTCTTTTCTCAGTCTCTCTTCCTCTCCCTCTCTCTCTCCCTCTCCCTCTCCCTCTCCCTCTCCCTCTCTCCCTCTCCCTCTCTCTCCCAACCCCGACTTCTTTGCTGGGATTTCTGGTCTATAAGGCAAGTGAGGCGCGAACTCCACCTTCACCCTCTCTCTGCAGCCGCTCAGGGCACCAGACCTAGCAGGATCCAAATCCCTAGCCACGGTCCAGGTGCAGGGGGATGAATGTGCCGGCCGGCTCTCCTCCCATCCCTGGGGCCACAAGAGCTTCCTGCCCGGCCTCAGTTTCCTTTTCAGTGACCAGAATGGGCAGCCATGATGATCTTTCTTCAGCCCTAATCAGGTCATCTCACCCCCCTCTCCCCAGAGTTTCCAGAATACCTGTCACACAGTCCAAGCTTGGAGGCTTAGCCTGAAAGTCCACAGGAGTCAGCAGGCCTTCAGGTCTCAAGGAACCTCCCAGCCCTGCTTCCTCCAGCTCGGGCGCTCCTGCTGGCCATCCTGTTCAGGCTTTGAGACTTTCAAGTTCAGGGCCCAGACACGCCATGTCACACACAGGCAAGACTCCAGTGTTCACAGACCATCCTAGCAGAAGATAGTGGAGTCCCCTTAGGGCCCTGGCCTGTTGTCTTAGAGACTCCAGCATTTTCCCCAGGGTGTTGTGAGGAAGAATCCGGAAATTTCTCAGACGTCAGAGGTCTGACAGTACTCACCTAGTCACCCCAGAGCTCTTGCTGGGAATTACTGTGTTTGGACAAGCCCCCCTCACTAGGCTACCTTTCCTCCCAGCATCCACGCTCTGGTTCCCGCTGGTGCTGCTCCTAGACCCTTTACACTCCTGCTTCCTTCCTCATCCTCATGGGGTCCCACTGAAAAAACTTCCCTGCATCTTCCACTTCCACAGATAGCTCATAGCTCTCCTGCTACTGCACCCAGCCCCACCCCAGGGCCCCATTTCCACAGGGGCTGCGAGATGTCTGCATTTGGGCTTCCTGGCCCCGGTGTCCCTTCTCAGCTGTGACTTTCCCCTTCCTCACCATAGCATCGCCCCTGTTGGAGACCAAGCCAGACCGTACCTCCCTCAGCTGCCCCTCTCCTCTGAACCCTGGAATCTCGGTTTGTGACTCTGTCGTGGACGGTTTTATGTCAACTTGACACACACTAAAGTCATCTGAGAGGAGGAAACCTCAGTTGAGAAAATGCCTCTGTAAGATCAGGCTGTAGGCAAGCCTGTAAAGCATT